GCCGCCGGATCCCCCATCCGATCCGTTGAATAGGAGCCGGAGCTCGACTATGTGCCGGGTCCTGTCGGCGCGAGATTCTCTTCTGCCTGATCATGTTCCCCGTGGAGCGGTCTTCGGCAGTAGCAACAACAACAACCATCACAGCCGTGAGTTGAAGATCATCAATATCGCCGGAAATGGTGTTTCTGGGATATTGTACAAATGGGTGAATTATGGGAAGGGGTGGAGGCCGAGATGGTTCGTTCTGCAGGATGGGGTGTTGAGTTATTATAAGATCCATGGGCCTGACAGGATTGTGGTCAATCAAGAGACTGTGAAAGGGTCGACGGTGATTGGGGAAGAATCTATGCGGCGGCTCTCTCGGCACCAAAACAAGCACAATCATCATAGGAATGGAAGCTGTGGTTCTTCGGCAAGAGAGTGGAAGCCCGTCGGTGAAGTTCATTTAAAGGTTCAACATGTCTCTAATTGAGTTGTGTCTTCCTTGTTCTGTTTCTGTTCAATTGGTGAATATAATTCTTGCATTTGAGTAATCTGTTGATAGATGCATTGAACGAGGTTTTATGAGATGTGTATCTTTTGAATGTAGATGGTTATGCGATTTGTTTACTATTTGCTAAAATCTTATTTCGGGCTCTCTATTCATCACGGTCTTACCTTTATTCCAGTGTATGTATTTAGCTCTAGATTAGATTTTATACTCTTACGGAACTTGGATCCTAATTATGATAGTTATAGAAGATGAGATTTGAATTCCGAACTGAATGTTTGGATATATTGTGTTCTGTGACAGAGTAGGTTTCATGGTCTCCTTTGAAATTATGGCATTTATCCTGTTAGTTTAATTTATTTGTTCACCTTATTTGCTCATGACTGTAACTGATAGTGAAGTACTGCCATGGTTCAATAGATGGTTATCATTAGTTCATATGACTATGGGTAAATTCATCTTTTGGTGTTTTACAAGTGCCTAGTTCGTTGTAGGTCTCAACTATTCGAGAGAGCAGATCAGATGATAGGAGGTTCTCAATTTTTACTGGTACAAAGAGGCTCCATCTGAGGGCTGAGAGCAGAGAGGATCGGATGGCATGGGTGGAAGCTTTGCAGGCTGTGAAGGACATGTTCCCAAGGATTTCCAATAGCGAGCTAATGGCTCCTTTGGACAGTTTAGCTGTCTCGACTGAAAGACTGAGGCAGAGGTTGTTGGAAGAAGGTGCGAGTGAGACTGCCATTCAGGACAGTGAGCAGATCATGAGGATAGAGTTTGCTACACTGCAAAATCAATTGATGGGCTTGAGGCACAAGTATTGTCACCTCTTGGACACACTGGGCCAGTTAGAGGTATGTTAGGATTGTATAATTTGCATTAAAATTCGGAATCTTCTCAGTTTTCCTTCTAGACTGGGAAACTGCTGTCATTCACTAGGTTTTGTGCATCAACCAGTCAAGGGGTGGGAGGGTCGGGGTGAATGCTGTAGCCATTTGTTTTGATTTTGCCTTGCGTAATTTTGAGTGACCATAATTGTGTGGTTTCGCAATGGATCTTATAGATGAAGTTTCCCTCATTTTTTTTGTTTAATTTTTTTCTTTTATTTTTTATTTTCTCTTATTGAGTTGATTGACGTTTGTATCTGTTCAGAAAAATCTTTGTTTGCTATGTTGTGGATTAATATACACTCAGCAGAGCCATTTACAGAACACTTGATATATGAATAGGTGTTCTGACTGCTGCATTTGTTTAGACAGAAAAGGTGGATCTGGAAAATACAGTGGTTGATGAAAGCCAGAGACAGGTAAATGATGTTGGGGAATCCTCTGGATTAAGACGAGATAAGTTTAGTGGTAAGTTTCCGGTTGCCCTCATCTTATATCGCTTTGCTTTTGGCTTCACATGGGTGTATTAACATATGAACCTCTTCATGATTCAGAACTAGTATCCCATGTTAATCTTATGTGTTTATTGTTTTAGAATTCCCTTTTTGCAAGGCTTTTTGTCCAGTTGTTTATAAAATAAAGTGTGATTTTAAATTGCAGCCATTCTATTTTTTCCCTTACACTAGACAAATGGACTTTTATATGAGCAGAACTATTATTTACTATGGGTAATATACACTGATAATATTTCTGTGGTCCATTTGTCTATGTGGCATGTGCATTTTGTAGTTTCTCATTGCCTTGTTTACTGCTACCAGAAAGTACGACTGAATCTGAAGATGACAATGAAAGAATGGACGCGGCTGAGGAAGATACGGATGAAGAAGATAATACTTTCTTTGACACCAGAGACTTCCTTTCATCTAGTTCTCGTAAAAGCAATGAGTCCGACTTTAGGGCATCATCTTTTTCATCTGATGATGATGAAATTCATGCTTTTGAAGCTGAGGATGGTATTGATCCTGCCATTATATTTGCTGGAAAAAACTTTCCGAATGTTAAGCGTCGAAAGAAATTACCTGACCCCATAGAAAAAGAGAAAGGAGTAAGTTTGTGGTCAATGATTAAAGATAACATTGGGAAGGATCTTACTAAAGTATGTCTTCCAGTCTACTTCAATGAGCCTCTCTCTTCTCTACAAAAATGTTTTGAAGATTTGGAATATTCACATCTTCTCGATCGGGCCTATGAATGGGGAAAGAGGGTAAGTTCTTATAATGATACTATATCTTTCTGATGTTGTATTGATTAATTGGATGACTCCACTTTTTAGTCGGAAAACTGTCTTTTATATTTTTCTGGAATTGTTAAAAGAGTGTCAAAGTGTTTGAACTTGGATTCTGCTCTTCGGTGTTTCAAAAATGGTCTTCCAACAGCTTTCAAAAATTCAAAATTGGATCTATTGTCTATTGATATTACGGAGGATATTTATATGTAGGGATTTGTAAATCTCCATTCATATTGCCCATTTGTTCTCTTATTGGCTAGGAATTATCAGGAAATAATCTGGTTACTGAGCATGAGAAAGTAACCGGATATAGAAAACATGATATATCTACTGAAGGCAAATTATAGCGAATTAGCACGTGTATTTTTGGTACTAAGAGTTTTGATGTCATGAGTTGCATATATGTAACTATTACAAGGTGAAGATGGAAAACATGTTATTGGTTCATATGTTTGTGTTCCATCTATTTGTTTGTTCAGTCTTCCTACAATCTTAATTTATATATTTGTGCAACTGCACAAAAATGCGTTCCATGTTTGTTATTTTTTTTTATTTTTTTTTTTCTGAAAAAAGCACTTATAGAAGGAGTTTGATTTTTATTGCACTGATTTTACAAGTGAATATCCTTTTTGCAGTTCATCACCAATTATAACTTTTTGCATAGGGTAACAGTCTGATGAGGATTTTAAACGTTGCTGCATTTGCTGTTTCTGGATATGCGTCTACCGAAGGAAGAAATTGCAAACCATTTAATCCATTGTTAGGCGAGACTTATGAGGCGGATTATCCAGATAAAGGACTTCGATTTTTCTCAGAGAAGGTGTCACATTATTTATTGAGGAAAATGTTTAGTGTGATTCCTATGATTTTTTCCATGTAATGAATGATTATATGCCCCCTGTGACATGTAAAGTAATGATGTGTGATGGCTTGCTTTGGTTTCATGCAACTGTAGACAAGAATATATTTTTATACATTATCTATGACCGAACAAGTAGCCAATGCCTTTGTCGTTTGCTTCAGGTGAGTCACCATCCCATGATTGTAGCATGTCACTGTGAAGGTACAGGTTGGAGGTTCTATGGTGATAGCAACCTGAAAAGCAAATTTTGGGGTCGATCCATTCAGCTCGACCCTGTTGGTATTTTAACTCTTGAGTTTGATGATGGAGAAGTCTTCCAGTGGAGCAAGGTACAGTTGGAAACACTGAAGATCATTTTCCTTTGCGTGGTTGTGGTAAAAAAAAACATATTGCACTTTCGTATTTCAGGTGACAACGTCTATATACAATCTTATTCTGGGGAAATTGTACTGTGACCATTATGGAACTATGCGGATACAAGGGAATCGTAATTACTCTTGTAGACTGAAATTCAAGGAGCAGTCTATCATTGATAGAAATCCTCATCAGGTACTCTGCTCATATTGTAATGTCTTTTTTACGCATTAAAAGTTGATTAGATGTGCCCTTTAGAAATAAATTTACATGCTAGTGAAGTAATTAGGAAAGCATATCTGTAGTTTAATTTTACCCTGTACGACATTGAGGTTGAGTCTAATTGCAATAATTCTAGTTATCACTGGAAACCTCTAGAGGTTTGTATTTGCCTAATAGATAACCCATCCTAAGGACTGCTATTTGTAAATTTTTTAATACCAGCTGTGGTAGTTACCTTTTGTGATAAGGTTTATGGAGATCAATAGCTTCTAACCCGCAGATAAGATACTCTTTGTTGAAGGGGAAGTTACTGGTCTAACTATATGCCAATATCTTCTGATTCTAAATACCATTTTCCTTTGTGCAAAAACACTTGCTGGGTTCGATAGTTATTATTTTAGGGCTTTTCTTAATTCATATTTGGCATTGCAGGTCCAGGGAGTTGTCCAAGACAAAGGTGGAAAGACAGTAGCTACTTTGTTTGGGAAGTGGGATGAGAGCATGCATTATGTTGATGGGGACTGCTCTGCCAAAGGAAAAGCACCTGAATCTGTTCCGGAGTCTCATTTGCTTTGGAAACGTAACAAGCCTCCCAAGTTCCCTACGCGTTATAATTTCACACGCTTTGCTATTACACTCAATGAGCTCATCCCGGGGCTGAAGGTGATTGTTTAGAAAAAGTAGTGTGCGTTGAATCCTAGCACTGGATCTTCTCCTGTATCTACCAGTATTCCTATGTTGAGTTTGCTACTGTCATGTAGTTGCATTTTACACCATTAAGTGCAATTAGATATTGATATACGTGTATGGCCCTCCTACAAACTCATTCATCCGCTATTATTATTATTATTATTATTATTATTATTATTATTATTATTATTATTATTATTATTATTATTATTATTATTATTATTATTATTATTATTATTCCCTTATAATCGGCATGTTGCTTGAAATGAGTGAAATCGTGTTGATAAGTTGAATATACATATGGCATTTTGCTTATCCTCTGGGTTTTTTAGATTTGAAGATCTTGATGTTATATCTACTTATTGCAGGAAAAGCTGCCCCCTACAGATTCTAGGCTTAGGCCTGATCAGAGGTGCCTGGAAAATGGAGAGTATGAGATGGCTAATGCTGAAAAACTGAGGCTAGAGCAGCGGCAACGGCAGGTAACTAATATGTGGAATGTCTTATTAACTCACAATTTATTGTCCACTTGAAAATAGATGCACAAAAACGAAATCCTTCACAGGGACTTGTTTGGCATTGAATGATTTTTTTGAGCAAAAATGGTGCCTGGCTTCTCGACATTTTTCTTGCATACTAATAACACATATCCCTTGGAAGTTATTGGTGCCAACCTGTATATGCCACGGTATATCCATTTAACTTGTATACTGATCAAAAACCAGGCTAGAAAAATGCAAGAACAAGGCTGGAAAGCACGATGGTTCGCTAAAGACAAAGGATCGGACACATACCGGTATGTTGGAGGCTACTGGGAAGCTAGAGAACAGGGAAACTGGGAAGCATGCCCGGACATTTTTGGTCAAATACCTTCCGATCACTTACTGGACGAGTAATGCTTTCTTTTCGTTTATCGTAACTATTCTATACTCTCTCTTCATGTATTCTATAGGAAATATTTGACGCATAATATGTATAGTTGTTTAGATGAAGCAGCCAAGTTGTTTCTACAGTTGTGATATAATAATTCTTGCCATTTTCCCCAATTTAATTTTTCTGGGCATTATTACATTCAACATCAACAAGGGGGTAAATAAATCCCACCTTTCATTTTGTTAGCTTTGGTACTCTTTTAGTGAACATCATTTTTAAGATGATGCATTGATGGTGAAACTTTTGGGTTCAATTCTCTCTCTCTCTCTCTCTCTCTCTCTCTCTCTCTCTCTCTCTCTCTCTCTCTCTCTCCCTCTCCCTCTCTACACACACACACACATGAATGTTTTTGGGAATAATGGTAGTTATAAAAATTGGACTCTTCGAGAAAAAAGTTTCGAAATTCAGGTACCTATTGAAGGAAAGTTTGAAAATTAGGCCCCCTTTTGACGACTTTCGTATTTCAGGCCTCAATTTGAGATATTTAGTAAAATTCAGGTTTTGTAATGAAATTTTTCCAGACCCAAATTTAATTGCTTGTTGAAAATTGCTTTGTTAATTGCATAATTGGGATGTGTTTAGCCCTAATCTACTTGGACGGTACAAACATTAATGGCCTACCTTTAGGGAGACACCTACACTTAGTAATAAGTACGGGCTAAGGCAGTGGTGCATGAAATTTTTTGTGCACGTTTAACACTCCCAAGTTGGAATCAATGTGTGATATACTTTTTGAGGACTGTGTGCACTTTTTTGTTCAATGTATCTCTGACGTTGGCTTGCCGAACTCTGTAATTCCGAGTTTTATTAATATAGTTGATGTTTGGAAAAAAAAAAAAAGTATCTGTGACGCGTACTGACGCGTACTGAAGATATAAGCATTTTTGCAATTGTAGAGGAATTTCTCGGTCCTTGTTAGAGCAACTTTAGCAATGCTCTATATTGCAACTTTTTACTTAGTAGCGCGAAAAACTTGTTCCAATATTACGCTATAATTTCGCATTAGTCTGACGTGAACAATCTTGCGTATATGTAGAGTGGTATTATTCACTGTGTTACAACTTTTTTTTTTTAAAAAAAAAAAATAATTTTTATTTCTGAATATTATTTGACAAAGTATACATTAATACACTCTTTTTATTATTTATTTAAATCGTTACTAATTTTGATTTTATAATTGTATTTAAGTTTTATTTATACTAATATATTATATGTAGAGTAAAATGCAACGTGAAGGAGAGACCAAAAATAAGTTTTGGCGTACTCAACGTTAGAATAGAGTAAACTTTACACTATAGTAGAGTAGGCGATTGAAGATGGTCTTAAACTAAGTTAACCGTTACACAATTAAGTTTTTTTTACACATTTTGTAAAAAAATAATTTATTTTTAAAATATATTAAGAAATTATAATATCTAGTAATAATAATATTTACTTTTATTTAAAAATTATGATGGAATGACTAATCGTTAAACTGCCTAGAGGTCCCCATATTGGACTCAACAATTGACCAATGCTCATCCTTTTGTTTACAAGAAAAAGAAAGGTACATTGTTGACAAGTTACAATCTTTTGTTTGAATACATAGAAGAGTAATTAGCCTACAAAAATTTAGCACCTAAATGTTATGTAGCTATGACCACGTCTGATTTGTCAACTTGAACCCGTAAACCGGT